AGATCGGCTTTCTCCCTTGCGGCTTGGGCCAGTGAGTCGTCCTATCTGTGCAAAGATGGAAGAGATGGCTGACAGAAGTTCCCTTTGATAGCCTTGGCGAGAGACCAGAATGCACTGGTCCCCGAAGGAAGGCAAACTAGCTTCTCGTCAATTCTGCCGATGTTGCCTTCTCAGATCTTGCCTTGGCAATGACGCTTTTGAAGGACCTGGAGGCGGAATTATACTTCTTTTTAAGTGCGCTAGTGTTTACATCACGAGACGTTGATGCTTCAGCCCAGGCCCGGTAGCACTCCTGCTTATAGCGTGATGCTATTTTGCAGGAGCGACCAAACCATGGCTGGGATCTGCCTACAATGGGCACCACAGAGGATGGAATAGAAAGTTCCATATCCTGAAGTACCACATCAGCAACAGAATCGGCAACAACGCTCGGATCTTCCAGCGAGAAGCAAACTCGCGCCCAAGGGTAGGATGCAAAAAAAGACCGCATCCCGTTCCAATCGGTTGACCTATAGTGCCAAACACGGCGGCAAGCTGCAGATCGCAACTGCGTTGGGAGCGTAAGTGTCACCGTACTCCGGATCAGACAATGGTCCGAAGAGCCCAGAGGGACTTCGACGGAGACCTGATATCCGTATTGCTTCCATTGAGCAGTGAAATCACTTGACATTTAATTTGGAATCGATTCTAACTAATTTAAATTTGTGAATCCGACAATAGAAGCAATCTGTAGCAATAATAAGAGTTTGATTAATTTAGAATGCAGCCCACAAATAAGTAATAAGTATTTTTCACAACTGGTCCATCAAAAGTTACAAGGCAGGATGAGCAGGTAAGAACATACGTATACTATGTGTTACTGAAAATTAGCTAAAATATTATAACTGTGTTTAATTTCAGAAATCACCAGGTAGTTCCTTCAATAAATACAAAAGTTTACGTGGTGGCGCCTTAATATTAGCTGATAGAGCATTATTATATAAAGAACGTAAGAATATTGTAAAGCCTCTCTGTCGAGTGAATTGTAGAAATGGCAAACATTAAGTAAAGTATTTTGAAAAAAAAAATAGATCAGATATTAAGTTTTTTTTTAATATAAATAAATTGCTTCATAAACCTCAATGTGGTTTTACAAGGGGTCACTTGACTACCTTCGCCGAAGTTGAACTTATAAAACATATTTCTTGTGCATTCAGAGGATGCTTTGGGTGTGTTTTGTGACCTTTCCAAGGCCTTCGACTAAGTTCACCATGAGACATTAATTAGTAAGCTACAGTAATATGGTGTCAAGAACACAGCGCTTTAACTTATTATTTCATATTATTTAAGTAATAGAATACAGAAAGTTATTATCAATGAAAAAAGTTCTTTCGGGTCGTCCGTAAAGACGGGTGTCCCTCAGGGCTCGATTCCTATTTTTAGAGTATATTAATGCCTTACCTTCCCTTGTAGGGGATAACCATGATATAGTATTATTTGCTGATGATACTTCCTTGAGTTTTAAACTTAAACGTCTATCATTTAAATGTAACGAAATGAATAATGCTATATGCTGATGAATATTATAGAAAAGACCCAGTAGTGATTATTCTTAACTGTTTTGCGGATGTGCGATTTACACAGCGCTCGGTTCCTAAAGCACTCTTCTCCCTGGACGTCAGCCAGTTGAGTGGACCTGATGGAGTCCCTCCCATTGTGCTGAAGACGTGTACTCCGGATTTAGCACAGGTTTTAATGCGTCTTTTCCGGTCATCCTACTCCCAAGGCGTAGTCCCGAATTCATGGAAGACAGCTATGGTCCACCCGATGAAGGGAGTTAGAAAGTAGTAAAATTTCTGATTTAAGGCACTCCACGTCAGTCTCATAACATTTTTAATATTCATATACAAATGCTTGCTTTTTTTTACATACATTAACATAATTTTTAGTATTAATCTTATTTTAATTAATTTTTGTATTTTCTTTAGGTATTTATTAACTTTTATATATTTCTTCAATTTGGTGTTACTGCAATATATCCTTACTGTTTTTCTTGAAGTGGAAGAGTCGTCACCTGTCAAATCTATTGTTGCAGATTGCTATAATACATACATACATACATAAACACTCACGCCTGTCACCCAGAGGGGTAGGCAGAGAATATGGACTTCCATTTGGCACGATCCTGACATACCTCTCTCGCTTCCTCCACATCCATATACCTACGCATACACGCTGGTCGGTTAAAGGTACTCTTGATATGGCCCATTTTTAATATATCGCCAATTTGGTCGATAAACTTTCGCCTAGGGCGACCCTTCCCGACTATGCCGTTCACCTCTGCAACATAGATTTGCTTTGTCACTCTTTCCTCATTCATTCTTTCTACATGGCCAAACCACCGAAGCATTCCTTTCTTAATCCTTGTCACAACATCATCTTGCAAACCAATTAGTGGATTGCTATAATATTTAAGAATTAATACATTGCACAAGCTCGGAGAACAGGCTTTGAGTCTGGGACGCTTTTAGGTTATCTACGAGTATGTATGTTTTAAATTGTTATTTGCTCGTTAGTCTCAATCAATTGTAACTTCATTGCAGCAATAAACCCGATAGCTCATATTTCTTGCTGCATTGGTCAAACTGATTAACCATTCCCTGTAGCTGATCCCTTTCTTTTATAATACTTGTGTAATCTGTATGTAACTTAACCATATCACGTTACAATTGTATAATTTTGGCAATTACGCTATTTATTTCCTTTTCATTATCATCACTTTCCTTAAGCAACAGTTCACACTTCTCCTTGGATGCCTTAAGTTCTTGAAGCACAAGCTGGAGTTCGTTCTCCATCCGGCGCTTCTTGGCGTTGCGCGTATTCATTTTATTATTTATTGTAAGTAATAATAGAAAATATAGATCGAATCAGAAGAAGAAGAGTAAACTAAAGTCGAGTTGTAATCCTTTGTTTTTACTTTTTAATATTTACTGATCTTAAATCAAATTATTGTAAGAGTTATTCAAAAAGAAACCCATAAAGAATATAATACTTCGTCCGAGTAATAGAATAGGTCTTTAATTATAATAAAGGAATGATAAGGCATAGGAATAACAATAATTTTAAACAATGTTCGTTACCTGTCACTTTATGTTCCAACACAAAATTGTTATGATATTTATGCACCGAATTTCTTAATACAATTTCTTAATTCAAGGGGCAGTAATTATTAACTATAAAATAAAATTGAGATGGATATTACGAATTTACAATATTGATTTTATAAAATTTTTGGGGCTCAAATAGTTTTATAACTTACCCCCAGGGTTGCCTTCAAATCAACACAACATCATTAACACATCACAAAATTATTGTTTCACAAAACAAAAGATTTGGTTTAAATCTGAAAACATTAAAGCGCCATATAACGGTGAGTACAATATGTTTTGGACATTATTAGTCGAAACTTATCACAAGAATCACTACAGTATATACAAATAATGCCAGAAACAACATAAATACAAATATCCCTGTAAATTTAACTTGTTGCGCTAATACTTTGCTAATATAATCCTTTATGCAGATAAAAATATTGTACAAATTATCAGAAAGCATGTGTTCTGAATCTTAGTCATGTCACTTACTAGGGACAGACAATGTCACTGGTTTAATTTAAATCTGGGGGCACGATAGTGCCCCCGGCAAAACGAAGCACATCTATCTTTTCTCGAAGCATTTCGTCGTTTTTTTTTGAACCCTCATAACTTGGGTTTGGATAGTACCAGATAAACAAAATTCTCAGGATTTGATATCAATAATAGACTGTTTAAACATAAACAGTTTCAATTGCATAGCTTGTATACTTTAGATTTTATTGATATCTAAAGAACCCAGTGAGTCACTGATGATCATCAAAATTCTTAGGGTACTTACAACAACTCAACAACTTACTTAAACTCGGTCTGAAAATTGATATAGGGACTCCTTGTTACTCCTTGTAATAAATAGTAATAATAAAATATTAATAAAATATAAATTTTAGAATTTTTAGTAAATCCAGACTTTAAATTAAGGGAAATTTCGTCATAAGCAACTTACAAAAAGAAGTGAAGCCCCACCAAACATATAAAACGCTGACAAGACGAAGTTATACTATGGCTCGCACTGTCAAAAGGTTATCAGATCTTATGTAGAGCCAAGCTTCTACTACTAACACTACATGCCCTAACTCTACAAGCCCTAACTTCACAAACTCTACACTTTAGTCAAAATATGTGGCTTGGCCGTTTTGTTACTACCGGCTGCCGATGATGTAGATGACGACTGCTGGTGAGGTAGACTGCTGCGCCCAGCCTCCTCATTTCGGCCCCATCTTGGGACACCATGGATGGTAAGTTGGTTTCTCTTCTTACTTGTCTCTATATATTTTCTTCTTATTTTTATTTCTATTATATATAAATTATTATTCTTTTTTATTTATTATTCAATAGAACTATTGTATAACAGAAAAATAATAAACAGTAAATAAATATTTCACCTTACGCCCATGGGTCTAATAACTTCTAGCTAATAACTGGTAACTGCGAGTCATATGGTCTCGTCTTGGCAACATTTTACATGAAAATGTTCTGATGGGATATTTAATTTTAAGAAATGTTTTGTTTGCCTACTTACAGATTTTTTTAATAATCTGTTTGTGAAAATATTTAAAGTCAAAAGTTAACGCTAAGCTTTTAAATTAAAAATAAGGTCAAATTGGCACATAAATCATAATGTTGCATCTAAAATTATAACGTACAGGAAAGTCCATAAAGTGTATAATATATATGTAAATGTGTTCACAACCTACGTTTGAATCAGTGTTTTACAGGTACATAAACCTGATGGTGGCAATCACTTAAATAAACAAAAAGGTTTTTAAGGTTTTCTACTTTACATAGGCGTCAGTAAAGCCGAGCAGCGCTCAGAGTATACTTGACAACTAACCTGTGTGGTTATCTACAATTTTAATAACACCGAGAATGAATGCCCCTCCAAAAGACAAGCTGCTGGAACTACGGCCAGATACATTTGAAACAATTCGAAAAATATACAATTTCCACGAGCCGGGACGTATGAAGGAGGCTGTAAAAATATTGGATGACTGGGTGAAAAAACAAACTCATTTCAGAAAGAAAAATTTTAGTGAGTACCTACTATAAATACATTTTTATTACAGATTTTATTTTTTGACTGTTTACATTAAATAAATTCAAAAACAGATAAATTATATAAGTTATATTTTCTTATATATTTATTTATTTATTTATATTATATTATTCTTTTTGCTTAAAAAATCAATTAAAAATATTAAATTTTAATGCAATTACCAAATTAATGCTAAAGGCCTAATAGTTTATCTTATTTAAGTCTGACAATTTTATATTTTGATTTTGATCTGAGATTTGATTTAGAAACTATTATATCAATCATTTTACATTTCATTTTATTGCCTTTATAAAGTTATAACATTATAATTGAATCTTTTTGTTTTATTGAAAAAAAATGTTAGTACATCTACATGTTTACAAAACGCAAATAGATATTACATTTAGAGTTGTTTCATTGGAATAATCATTTTTAAAGAATAAAATATTTGCTAATATTCTATATGAATCATAACCATATTTTAAAATGTTGTGATACTGAAACCCTTTTATATATATATATACATAAATGGAATTTAAAACAAAATCGAATCAAAGTAATGAATAAAATATCATAGTTTGAATAATTCATTTTTTATTAAATCCTATCAAAACTTCTCCCTCATACATATAAAGTACTCATAAAGGGTCATCTATTAATTATACTCATAAGGGAATATTTGCCATAGTTGCCACAATAGGAAGACGTGTAGCAACTTTGGTATCCAACGGGTTTCGGCGGATTTTGAGTATTATCAGTGAGTATCCAACGGGTTGGATATTATGCATAAACTATATTATTACAATCATCGTCGTATTCAAATGTTTACTTTTTACTAATAAGTGAAAAAGTGATTTAACCAGTAAGGCAACAACTAAAATATAACTAAGTCATGACTTAACGTCATCAAATCTTTAATTTTTGGGAACATAAAGACATCGTATTGTCTGGTACAGGTCACGAGGTCGACCTTTTTGGAAGTCAAAAACGACTTCGTCTTGTTCGCTGTGTGCGCTGAAGTATTATTATTGTGCAATAAGATGCGACTTCTTGGCCTTTTTCCTTAACTTTTTTAGAGATATTGAACAAAAAAAGCCGGCCAAGTGCGAGTCGGACTCGCGCATCGAGGGTTCCGAACAAATCCGTAGATATATAAGTTTAAAATTATTAAAAATATTTTTATTGTATGATGTAACTAATAATTTATGCTTTTTGCAATTTTTCCTTTATCTATGCTATACGTTGCTTCGTACTAAATTTTAAGATTCTGAGTTCACGGGAAGTACCCTGTAGGTTTTGATTCCCTTGCGAATGTCGAAAATTTGCGGCATAATCGGCTGTATCTTTTGATTGCGTTGGTTTAGAAGTTTGATTTTCTGTTATGATTCATGATTCACGTGAGTTATGACTCACAGCTCCAAGGGACAGTAGACTTGAGTATTTGATATGAATTTCAGCTTGATACCTCCACGCGTTCCTGAGAAAAAGGGTCTTGACAGACAGACAGACAGGCGGACAACAAAGTGATCCTATAAGGGTTCCGTTTTTTCTTTTTGAGGTACCGAACCCTAAAAATGGCGGAGTTTCACTAAACGTTAACTCTACTAACTATATCCCATTTGTTGACCATATTGCTTTTGCTCATGAAATGAGTACGTGCTACTCACGATGTTTTTCGAACGAGCTGGGCATGTGGCATTCGGTACTTAAAATTGATACTAACAGTTTCATTGGTACCGGTTAGCATTGAACCCGGATTGGTCGAATATTACGAAATTAAAATAAACAGACTCTTACGACACCTATAGGGTAAAATAAAGTGATGGATTCATCTATAATAAAATAAGTATCCGTATTGGCTTTGAAGGAAAAACATATTAAAATAAAACATAAAAGAACAAAACAAAAAAAATTACGAAGACTTTACCTGACCGTTTTTGCCATAGTGTGATTTTTTTTAATGATCGATAAACGCCTTAGTTTAGCAGGCAGTAACAATAATATTATTGCGGCGTATATCTCATAAAGAGGATTGAATATAATATGCTTAATTTTCGTTTAATTTTAACTTTTGCCTTTCCATAAATGATCGTCGAAAAATATTTTAATGTAATTTATATTGTATTTCATTTTATACTACAAAAATTGTACAAGTATAATACTCGTACATAATTATCAAAAAATATTTTAAAATGTTAATAAAGGAATACCTTAAGAAAAGTTCAAAAATTACAAGAAAGGTATCTATTGAAATTCATGATGTCAAAAGAAACCTCAACTATTTTTTGTGTTCTATCCCTATAAATTAACAAAATAAACCAAACTTTATTATTGAGGAAAATGAGAGTCCTTTACAGTCCAAAAAATGAACTAAAGTACTTTCCAGCCACAAAAAATGGTGATCATCAATGGGTAGTACAAGTAAATTTAATCAGAGACTAAGGGCATAAGAGGAACAAAAATATAAAGCTCTAAGTCAGAAATACCTACAAAAGGTAGTAAAACGAAGTTAAATAAAGGGTTTTCTTATTATTTTTTATTAATTAATGAAAATTTTTAGTAAAATAAGTAACAAAAATGTTTTTCTAATAGGAAATCAAATTTTAAACAAAATGTGATGCTATTTATTTTTTAATTTAAATCGCAAGTAATCGTTGCGATACTGAAAAAAACTCAATTCTTATAATAACCATCAAATAAACTAATCTAGCAAAAAACTACTACTACTAAAAAGCAAAAAGTTTTTCCAGTTCTATACACCCACCATACTATACACACCATTAAACTCTATTTTACGGTGGTTGATGAGAGATGAGGACGTGGTCCTATCCCGGACGACTCCATCCATTCATCTTAGTGCCATAAAATTGCAGCAGCGTGGCTCTATCACGTACCTAACAAATTTTTTAAAGGAATTTATTTTTAAGAAGCAATTAAAGTTATACTAAAAATGTATCTTTAATATAAATAGCGTTATCCTTCACTTAATGAGAAACAAAGGAAAATGTAAAAGCTTTTAAAACATTTACTTCGCAAACATCCGCGCTATAAAATAAAATGATGTGTCTTACCTAGTATAAAGAGCACCTCCGACCCTCCCTCAATTGCGTGCACTATCCCCGTCATCACTAATCCCAGCACCGCTACTCCAGCGTCTTGCGGTTGCATCAGCGGTCTGTATAAAAGGCAGTTGTTTTGGCTCACCGCTCACTTAACGGCCAGCCACCGTATAAAATAGCATATGAAGCAAAGAATAGAATACAATAGAAGCAAAAATACTGGAACCAAAAAAGTAGGTTGATAACAAAAAAAAATATAATAAATTGAAAACATTGTCAAGGAACCTTTATTTCTAAAAAAATCAAATAAAAGTATTCGAAGACACGTCAACAAGTATTACATCAAAGGTGACTCAATAGTGAAAGAAGGCCAGGACCAAGCGTTGGTGACTTAGAATAATTATATTCTAAGCTTCAATGTTTACGAGTATTAAAATTTTAATGATAGTCAATCTTAATCGACACACGGATCGTATAACATCGTAACAACACAAAATCAGGTGGACTGTGTGCTCATTTACCACCCCATCCTATAAAAAAAATAGAATCTACTACCACCTATCACCAGTGGTTGTCGTAAGAGACACCCAAGAGTGATAGGTGCTAGCAGAGAGAAACTGAAACAAGAGAAAAGCAGCAACATCTTTCTGATAAGAATGAAATAATAATAAAAAAATTGCGGTTATCAAACCAACTGCCAAGCGTTGTAACTATGACAAATATTCCTCCAAGAACCAGTTAACGGAGTAGCACTATGTTCAACAGTGGAATTTTAACGATGTGTAGGGAATGAATCTTAGCCACCTAACAGAAATTTAATGTCCTGTCTGTCTAAGACAAGTTCTCAAAAAAGTTATTTATACAAACTTTCTTAAAAAACTGGATGCGCCCCTTTATCTAAATAAAAACTAACTTCTATTATTAAACTGTTCCAAATTTGATCTGCATGTATACCAATTGGCCTTAACAATATTACAAAACTACGGACAAAAACTGGTTTTGCACTGACTCAAAAAGATATCCAAAATGTGTTGGTAATTTATGAGCTAGAGAAACTAAAAAATTGCATACATAAAACCATTACTTCAGGTTATACTATAGGTGTCTTAAGAAATGATCATAAAATAACTTATAACTTCCTAATGATTTCTGTAATAACTTATCCATTTACGGCATATTATGTAATAATATCTAGACTATCAACAGGCAACAGCGTCAAATGTCTGACACTGTAATATCAGTGCCTTCTATACTACTGAAATTATATACTCCCGCCAAACATAAAGTCTTAATAAGGTCAAAATTTTCCATTCAGCGAAAGAGAACCGAGTCTAACAAAAGACTTTCTGTCAAAATTTACCAATAACTTCTTGCAAACACTTTAAGATAAGTTTACGTTATATTAGTTAGTTATGGCATAACAATTATTATGACAATATTTTACTATTAAGACGAATAAATGGTTGATATAAAATAACAAATCATTAAAACTTAAAGCAATTTATGTGTAGACAGCGTACTCGTAAATATAGAGTGCAATTATCGTTAATAGTACGACGGTTAGCCTGTTAGTGTAGTTTCACGAATGTGTCAAACAATAAAATAAAAAATCTTTATTATATTGCAATCAGTTGTTGCAAAACAAATTAAACTTTTACTTATATATTAAAATTAAATACGAGTAAATGTATAATTTTAATTTTATACTTAAACCATATTATATGCTTTACGCGTAAACCAACGGGAACTAAACGCGATAAAATCCATAAGTTTTATTTCAAGTGTAGTTTTCGCGTAAATTTAAAAAATCATTACAAATACCCATGTCACACCTATGCCAATAGTTGTTGAGAACTACTTACGTTCGAAGTTGTTGATGAGTATATTTATCGTGGACCAATCGTTCGGCTGGGTATTCCAAGTTCGACTAAGATGTCAATCGTCGTATTCAACTCTGCTGGACAGAGTTTCGAGCAGTCCAACACATCTTCTCATTAATTTTCCCTCAAATCCGTCAAAGAATTGTTTACAAGCGTGGTCGCATAATAATGCTTTCGGTTGCTTAACGAGCTATGGAGAGTGCTATGCTCGGAGCTTCACAGCATGTTAGAATTTGTTACGATGATAATATCCGCAATATAACCAGATTAACCGACGCAGCCAAACGGATCTATAAGCTAAAGTAGCAAAGGGCCGGTCATATTCCCGAAATCCGACAACCTATGAGGAAAATGGTTTTTGATTGGCAGCCAAGTTCCGGTATGCGAAATATAGGGCGGCTGCCCACTAGGTAGAGTGACGACCTGGTAAGACGTGCAGGAAGTCGATGAATGCAATGGAATTCTTAAGGGCCGTAATAATGATGATGATAATGACGTACACATCGACGCTTGAAAGGCAATAATTACCAAGCGACATTTTGGGCTATATTTGGGATATACAGCATTGAAACCAGCAAAAAATTCTGCGTCGATATGTCATACTCTCATAACGCAAGTAAGAGTTTTGTTGTCGCTTGGTAAGTTAAAAAATCATATATTCCCAGTTTTCGGCGACCAAGCGACTAAAATTTTACTGATTTATGAATGATTTTTGCATCGTAGGTATTTGATTTTAACTTTATACACGTAGTGATTTTTGCCTTGACTCAAATTAATGCGGTTAAACATAAAGATTTTTTTCTTTACAGTATCTAGGATATAAGGATTACTTAAGAGCCCTCCTACATTTCAGCGTTTCGCAAATTAAGGTATTTTACAGACCGAGCGGGCGGCGAGCTACGCGACCGACACTTTCTTTCATATCTATTCACTCGCTCGCACTATAATACTGTGAGCATGGCGATTAAAACATTTTGATCTTCCATAATACAAAGTTTTCTTAGGATGGACTTCAGTGGATTATTTTTTTTTTGGTGTGTCATTTTAATGTTATCTTATTAATTTATTATTTATTATTATGTACCATTTTCATAAATTTTTCATTATTTATGAAATTTAGTGTCAAAATAAGTACACATAAATATTTTAATTGATACGCCGTAATCGAATGTTAATAATCGATTATGTCTACTACCGGTAGAATAGTGGTACAAATAAATAAATAGTACGGTTGCAACCTGTTTTAATTAATAAAACAACCAAATGTAACTAATATTTTTTTAATCGGTACTTACAGTCAATTACCATATTTTTTATTAGAAAAATATTTGTTGCGACGGTATTGACCGAACTTTTCTAGAGTCGATAACTTCAGGCAGTACACACTTTTCATAAAAAGCTAGTAACTTGGGTAACATATTGAAAATCTAAAATTGGTCGTCTTTGTAAATTTTTAGTACTTTTACTGCATAACCTGGGCCAGTACATATTATGGCAAGTATTCAGACATTTTTATTTGCTAAATGAAGCTGGCCCAAGGCCAGCTTCATTTGGTAAAACCAGTCATTAATTTGATTTAATGTTATACATCAATGAATTTATAACCTTTAACTTTTTTTGGTCGAAAGGCCGTGTCAAAATCTATCCCGAAAGCTGAAATAGGACATTTAACTTCAATAAGACCATCGCTGTATAAACCATTATGTGAAGCCCTCAAATAACAATGATCTAGGTTAATGAATAGACCACATTTTTCTATAATAATATTTTCTTGTTTGCTCAATTGCGCCAATTCGTTGCCAGACTCGTTGTCCCTACCATGTTGAATGGAAGAGACGTGATCTAAATTATAACTATTATATATATTGACGATGCTCTAGCACGCAGGCAATCGACGCATACTACGATAGCAATCGACGCACACTACGATAGCAATCGACGCACACTTCGATAGCAATCGACGCACACTACGGTAGTATCATAGCGACGCAGCACGCGAGATCAACTGACACAGGTCCAACCTCGACAAGCGCTCGCGCGATAGTGAACGCAGACGGCCGGCGCAGTGAAATATCATCATCATCAATATCATCATTACAGCCTTTCATAAGTCCACTGGTGAACATAGGCGTCCCCAAAGGAATGCCACAAAGCACGGCCCTGAGCCACCTGCATCCATCGACTTCCTGCATGTCTTACCAGGTAGTCACTCCATCTCATGGGAGGTCGCCCTACACTTCGCCTACCGGTACGAACCTGCCTTTCAAGAACCTTTCTTCCGCATCGGTTGTCGGTTCTTCGAGCTATAGGGCCAGCCCACTGCCACTTCAGCTTACCAATCCGTTGGGCTATGTCGGTTACTCTGGTTCTACTGCGGATATACTCATTTCTAAGTTTATCACACAGAGAAACCCCGAGCATAGCCCTTTCCATAGCTCGCTGAGCGACTTTGAGCTTCCTCATACGGCTAGCAGAGAAGGACCACATCTCAGATCCGTAAGTCATCACTGGCAACACGCACTGGTTATACAATTTCGTTTTAAGGTTTTGAGGTATGTCTGACGAGAAGATGTGTCGCAGTTTCCCGAACGCTGCGTAGCCGAGTTGAATCCATCGATTGACCTCTCAGTCGAAGTTAGACTTACCTAGTCGGACTATTTGTCCCAGGTAAACATACTCGTCAACAACTTCGAGCTTAGTGCTCCCAAAAACTACCGGCATAGATGTGACATGGACATTAAACATGATCTTTGTTTTGTCCATGTTCATGCTAAGACCTATTCGTTGGGAGACACTATTGAGGTCGTTGAGCATGGTGCTTAGGTCCTCCAGCGATTCTGCCATAAGGACTATATCGTCGGCAAATTGAGGATGAGTGATGTACTCGCCATTGATGTTTATACCGTATCCTTTCCAGTCCAGAAGCTTGAAAACGTCTTCCAATGCAGCGGTGAATAGTTTCGGGGATATAACATCACCCTGTCTTACACCTCTCTGCAATTGTATAGGTTTCGTACACTGGTTCTGTACTCGGATAGCCATCGTAGCCCTACTGTACAAGCACTTCAGCACTTCGATATACCGACAGTCAACTTGGCACCGCTGAAGGGACTGCAGCACCGCCCAAATTTCAACAGAATCAAAGGCTTTCTCATAGACCACATACGAGGAGGCTGTATTTGTCGAGTCTGTGTGTGAGACGATTCGTAATGACTCTCGAAAACAGCACGTAGACGTGGCTCAGAAGGAGAATCAATCAGTAGTATTTTAAGAGAGCGTTATCTTCTTTCTAGATGAACAAGTCTACCGCACTTGCTCTGCGACTCCGAAGTAGTGCCTCCAAGGAGGAAAGAATTTAAGAGCTTCTAAAATACTTCAAGTACTAGTTTTTCACCTAATTTCAACGGTTTCGCTATTATTCACTCATCTCCCTGCTATTTTTGCTATCCCAATTTCCCTACCTTCAGCTCACCCTTTTTCTAGTGTGCCTAGTTTTGCGTTGGATTCTCCCATTAACGCCGAATAGTGGGTTTGGAGGAATGCATTGCTCTAGGGATATCCGCATACATTTCATCCACCTCCTTTACGGGATGTGCCGAGGTTGGTGCGTTAACATGCATAACCTTCAACGAATATCGTTTGTAGATTCTGAATATAAAAAACACAACCCTTGTCACACTCACAATCTTTACAATGGTGTGAATTAGAGACTTGAGGAAGTAAAATTCGATACATCCTTGCGACAGATGGTCACTCTCTCGGTTATAAATCAAGTTGCCGGATTGAAGGATTATCGGCAACCGCTGTGTTTTATTGTAATTTTGTTGTTATCATAATGATGCTGCTGCCCATATCCTGCCTCATTCTCCTTCTTTTGCCTCTTACAATACTCACTGGGAGATACAAGGTAGCGAATATATTAAACCACCTCTACACGGCAAAATATTTATATATTTTTTTGTTTTGTCAAAGGTTGTTCTTGTTTGTCCAGATGCGGTGTATTTGGAGACGACAATCATAGCATGCAAGGGGTCTCTGGAACGATCTAAGACGCAATTAGACAAGATATGCACCTACAGAACTCTATTGCCAGATTTTTTTGGAAAGTTTAATGTGAAGAAAGATGTAGGAAATTTATACGAAATCGTGTAAGTAAAGTAATTCAAAAATATTAAAACTTTGCAATAGGCGCGCTCTTTCTAGATTCCATGTTATAGCAATAAACGGATAGCCAACATAAATTCCCCCTAGGCTTTGATCATTATCATAATTATAACAGCCCATCAAGGTCAAACTGCTGAACATAGGCCTCCCCCGTAGATTGCCTCATACATTTGTTTACCATAGTTACCACGCTTGGCAGTCGGTCGGCAATCTGTGGTTCTTTTTTATTTTTTTCGAGTTGTTACTAGAAAGATGCTACTGCCCATCTACTGTTCCAGTTTCCCTTTGTCACCTCTGACAACACACACGGAATGAATGAATGGCTTTTAGCAGTATTTCTAATCGAATACTAAAACTAATATATTAATGTATAACAGAACAATTATATCAAATAAACTTGGCATAATTGAATCGACATAAAATAAGCTGCTCGTCATAATTTTATGGACCTTAGACGCCATTTCTCATTGCAGCTCCTAAAATCTATCACAACATATTGTACGGCTTCAATTTACTACTATTCATGCTCTGGATCATCACTCTGGCCCACTTTTTCACGACAAAGCTACTTTATACAATACAATGAACAGTTCCAAAATATAAACATTTGCAACCTACTCGTTTAAATTTTTTCGTAATTGTGACAACTTTGATAGGAGAATTTTTTTTTTATTATTCTTTGATTATGTTTTATTATTATTTTACGTGGTTTTATTGTATATTTATTATGTATTATTTTACGAGGTAGAGCCATGCTGCAGCTATATCAGTAGTATAATTGTAGCACGAATGGGTTGGCTCGACCGGCAAAGGACCACGCTCTCACAGAAAACCAGTGTAAAATAGCAGCTTAATGCTGCTGTGTTTCGTATGGTGAGTGTAGAGAACCGGAGACCCCTTTTACTAGCAAAGCGGCATTCCATCTTAGTCCTCACGGGTGACAACGCATCTGCATCTTGTGTCTTTATTGAGGATAGATGTAGATGTCTATGGGTCACAGTAACCACTTATCATCAGGTGGACTGTGTGATCGTTTGTCACCCTGTCATATAAAAAAAATGTTCACTTGCAATAGGTAAAAATTCAAGTAGCCTTATGGTTAAGGGTGCGGACTTTAAATTCTTTTAATTCTTTATTCTTTTGTTATTTATGGCAGAGACTGCGTACTTCCATTTGGCATGATCCCGAGTCCTGAAACACCTCTCTTGCTTCTTTCAAATCCGTACTATGTGGATAATTTGGTCGATAAACTTCCGTCTTCTAGCTCACTTGCCGATGTCGCCATTTACTTCAGTAGCATTTACAATTTCACTGTGCCATGAGTGATTAATATATCTTTTTCTTTTTAAGAAACGTTACCCCCACATTAAGATTTTCTCCTGTATCGTGGAGGCAGTTTACAAACATATATTGCACGAGGACAAACATCTAGACCCGGAACATTTAATTGTAGGCCATACAAATACTTGTTCCGTGCGGGATTCGAACCCGCGACCCCCAGCACAACAACTCATTGCTAAGCCACTGCGCCACGGAGCCGTCGTATGTGTATGATCATTTCGATTATTATACCATAGTGTATCTTTTGCAAACAGGAAATTTGTTGATTTGCTTTGTCATTGTTTCCTCATTCATTATTTTCATAAATTGAATTAAGTATAGAAAAAATGAACAATGAAATATGAAAAAAAGCAGTTTCATAGGTATAGACATAATGCTATGAAACTATTCTAAATGAAGAAGTTATAAAGATAAATTAGTTTTGTAGCAACATGATTCGACAAAAATACAAGATGCCAAGCATTATCCAAAATTAATGCAAAAAAAACGAGAATTACAAAGTAATTTTAGTGGTATTGTTGCAATGCTAAAATAAGTAAGTAGTTAATGTGAAGGACGTGCAAGATTTAACGAGTGATTTACGTTTCACGGACATTTAATTTAAATGTCTAAATCGAAATTACGACCAAATTATTCAAATAATTTTTTTTTCATTTATCTACGATACAAATAAATAAATTGATGTGTCTGTTTGTAATATTCAAATAACGGCTTTTTAATAAATGCATATGAAAGTACCAGGGTGGTCTAAAAAGTTTCCGACCTCAACGCGAAGATGACAGCACTCGTCAATAAAAGCCAGTGAATGTAGTTGTGCATCCTTTTTTACGCACCAAAATTTCTGTCTTTTTGGACGCATAGTTGTTATTTGACAATCGTTTGAGTGAGTCCATGAGAGTGTTTTTATGAAAATGGAATAAATTAGTATCGAGCTGTCATTAAATTTTAGTATTTGAAAGGCAATACGCCTACGCCAATCAATGATAAGTTGGTCTCTGTGAATGGGGACTCTGCACCATCATTAACCACAGTGAAATTTTGGGCTGCTGAATTTAAAAGTGCCCACGAGATCTTGGGAGACGATGAAAGTTCGGGACAAAAACTGCAACAACTAACGATAAGATCGCAAAAGTTTGCCTAACGGTGCTAGACGACCGCCGAATTAAAGTGATAGAGATAGCAGAGGCTAAGAACATGTCCAAAAAACCTGTTTGTCACATATTAAATCAAGATTTAGGCATGACAAAGCTGTCGGCGCGTTCGCTGTCGCGTTTGCTCACGTTACCAAAAAAGTGTTGGAATGATCATTTCCATTACTCTGTTTGCGTAGTTTAGGCGCAATAAATCCGAGTTTTGGCGCCGATTAATTACTGATACACCATTATACGCCCGAAACAAAAATATAGTCAAACCAGTGGACTGCAAAGGGGAAACTGGCTCCAAAAAAGCAAAAACTGTTTTTTCGGCTGGGAAAGTAATGGCGGCTGTTTTTTGGGACAGTCATGGAGTTATCTTAATATATTATCTTCAAAAAGGAAAAACCATTACGGGAGCATCATTACTACGAATCATTACTTAACAAACTGAAGGCAGAAATTGCGGAAAAAATTTGCAGAAAAGATAAATCCTGTTTCACCATGTCAACGCACCTTCAAACATTTCAGCGGTTTCCATGGCAAAAATCCAGGAATTACGGTTTGAACTGCTTGACTATCCACCTTACTTACCAGGTCTAGGCCCAAGCGACTTTTTTTTTGTTCCTACATCTAAAAATTGCGCTCGGAGGACAGAGATTTTCGACAAATGAGGAGTTAATCACCTTCGTAAACAATTATTTTGCCGAGAATAACACAGAGTACAATACCGAGAGTATTTGGACGGGTTAGAAAACGGGATCATCGCTGGTAGAAGTGTGTAGAGTACAAGGATATTGAGCAGAAAAATAAAAATAAATTCTAAGAAAAAAATATTTTGTATTTTTGTTGGGTCAGAAACTTTTCAGACCATCCACGTATATACGGTATTTATAACAAAACCACATTTTTTTAAATTTTTGTCTGTCTGTCTGTTTGTTTCGGCTAATCTCCGAAATGGCTAGACTGATTTTGACGAGACATTCATTGCCAGATAGATGATGTTATAAGGAGTAACATAGGCCAAATTTATTTTAGAAAAAAAAATTAAAACCCTAAATTACACGTGAGTATTGTCGCGGAAAACAGCTAGTTTATCATATAAACAAGCATTAAAATTGTACATTATGCTATCGAGCGATTGCAATTCTATATTAAAAATAAGGTCGGGTTTATAAGATAAATAAGGTCGAGGAAAAAGTTTACTCGTATTTTGTTTGTACAAAATTGAAAAAAATATTTTTGGTTGTACTGTTTGTATCTGGCTGGTTTTAATATTAATACATATAGTACATTAAGGAAAAGAAAAATAAAAGGTAAGAACACTTTCCCACTATTTTTCAATTGTTTTTCTGTCCGCCAAAAGGAGTGAATCTAACGAAGAAATTCGATAGATTCTGAAGTTATATTACAAAAAAGAGAAAAATGCAACTCAAGCCGCGAAAAAAATTTGTCACGTTTATGGGATTAATCCAGTGTCAGTAAGAGCAACACAAAGTTGGTTCAAGCGTTTTCAGTCCGGGAATTTTGATGTCAAAAATGCAATTAGCTCTGGTCGCCTTGATAAGAATAAAGTCGATGCCATTTTTGAAAAAGTGGAGCAAAATCGGCATTGGAATAGTTACGACATGGGCGAGGAATTGAGGATTGACCACAAACCTGTTTTGACACATTTGAAAAAGTCTGGCTTTACAAAATAGCTCGATATTTCGGTACCACACGAGCTCATTGAAAAAACCTAATAAACCGTGTACTCATTTCCGATTCTCTATTGAAATGTAATGAAACCAAACCATTTTAGAAAAGATTGATCATTGTTGATGAAAATTTGATTACCTACGACAAGAACGTGCGAAAAAACTCGTAGTCAAAGGATACTCAAGCTCTGCAGACTGTAGTGAAACCCGGATTAACACGCAATAAGGTAATGCTGTGTGTATGCTGGGATTAGGTGGGTATCGTTTATTATGAGCTTTTACCACCAGGCAAAACCATCGACTCGCATCTCTATTGCCAACAACCAATGAGACTCAAGCAAGGAATTAAGAAGAGACGGCCAGAATTAATCAAAAGAAAGGAAGTGGTCTTTCATCATGATAACGCCAGATACCTTTGACCGCACAGCAAAAGAGAGCTTGGATGAGCTGTGTTAATGCATGCACTATGTAGACCTGGCATCCTCAGATATTCACCTGTTTCGGTCTTTTCAGAAATATTAGGGTATCGTGAGGTTAACATCAAGAGATGACTGTCAAAACTACTTGTCGCATTTTTTTGATCAAAAAAATGCGATCAGTAGATGAATTATGTAACTACCTACAAGATGGCAACAATTCATCGACAAAATGGCATATATATTGGTCTCCGGTCGTCCACGGCGTTGGTTCTGAAGGTCGAAATTTCCAGAACCACAGTTCCCGTACCAAAGTGGAAAATGAATAATTAAAGGCTATTGTGAAAGCAGATCCATCAGAAAGCACTTCAGCGATAGCTGCAGGCTTTAGGGTAAG